GTTTTCTTACATATGAGTGTTCAGCATATTGACCTATTGTTATTTTTTATTATTATTTTTTTTTTTTTGTCTTTTATAGAAACGAACTCTAAATCAGAATCAACAGATAAAAAGACCTAAGGTAGAGTGTTTATTGAATCACAAATATATTTTGGTGTATATGCTAAATTGCTTTCTGTAGTAATATACATACAAATTATAGCTTTCTGTATATTGTTCATGTATATTATAAGTAATTTTCTTTTTTGTTCTGACATTTTATAAAGGTTATTTTAATTAAAAGTGATACTTATTCAGTGCATGCATGTTTACATTGTATACATCTCTTAGATTAATAAACTGTGTGTGTGCAATTAGTTTTGCAGTATGTTTGTATTATGCTTGTGGAATATATTGCTTGTGTTTGGAAATGTGTGTTATGATAATGTATTTCTTGATACAACAAATTAAATCTACAAAAAAACATATATTTTTTATTAATATTTTCCTTATACTGAATCTGTTTCTCTCTATGATTTTAGTATTTTATTTACTTGTCCCTATATTTAACAAATATGTGTTTGTGTGGTGTAGAAAAAAAATGCCCCTTTGTTCTGTAACTGGGTTCCTCTTTTATTGCTCCTTAGTTCCCTGTCAATCATTATTATAAGGTCTTGTCTTTGCACCTAACAGTCAATATAGAAGAATCATACAGAGAAAATGAGAAATTACTATATCTCTATTTCTCCTTCTCATTTACTAACTGCACCCTGACTGTGCATGGACTGCAACTGCATTATGATGCCATTTGCTAAATCTTTAATATAAATATAAAAGAACATATTGCATCACATGAAAAAAATATGTTAAACAAAAGGAATCGGTGGTTTTATCGGTGTAACTCCTCTAAGACCCACACATTTGAAGTAAATTCCTCAAACATTAAAGTTATCAAGGTGTATTGTCAGAGTTTTTCTTTTTTCATATATCAGTCAGGTGCAAAGGGAAAACTTGTGAGAAGTCATGCTGTTTGTGAGGAGCCTTCGCCCAACGCATTTGGTGAAGAAAATCAGGTGAGTGCTGATTTCTTTTTGAAATACTATGAGAAGACCAGTACTTTTCACTATTATATTTTGTATATTAAAAAAAACAAAAAAAAAAAACTGCTACATGTTTGTTTTGGTACCTTTGTGAATCATGCTCCCTTAGATATTTTATTTCCGAGAGCTATAAGGTTAACAGTACATTTCATGAGAATAAATTGTTTATACCTATACCTATGGCATACCTGTTATACTCTGATAGGTCATGTGATTTCTTAAGATAGTTGAAAAAATAGTCTCCCTATGCAATGTTTTGCAGACAGTGATAATGATACAAATTAATATACATTATATAGTAAAATATTCAGTACCATCTCGGTGGAAGAGAAATGAATGGTGGTTTATTTCAGTCTATGAAGTATGAAAGCTTAAAATATAGCATAATGAAAGCAATATAACTCATGTTCAATAGTTAAATGTGTTATGCAATTCATTTCATCCTAAAGTATTAAGTGACATATACATAAAGATAAGGCTGAGCTATTAAATAGAGCTATGCAAAATACATTAGTTTATAAAATGTATACTAGGAAAGGTGAAAATATATAGTTTTATTTCCATATTGCAGATGTAGCCTTTTTGTTCTCGAGCTGGAATTTACATACATGATTTGTAGGCATGTAAGTATATGTATGTAAATTCTTTACATTTGTGTTACATATGTGTAAATATTCATATATGTTCAAAATGTTACTGTATACTTTGATCTGTTTTGTTTTCTGGTTCTTTTACAAGTGTTATTTTAAATATCTACACAAGCTCCTATTAATTTAAATCATATTTTACAATTTGTAAAGCACTTAGCATTCTTTGGTGTCTGCCAATCTACAGCTGTTAATCTATACTCTGGCCAATCAAAGATACTTATTATACTTTTAAAGAGCAGACATCATGAACATTTGTGTTTTTTTCCTTTTTGTTTGTTGTAATGTAAAAAACATTTAAGTACTTCAAATGCATATCAATGCATTTCAGGTTTTAGGTGTTTAAAAATGATCCTTGCTCTGTAAATAAACATTGGTGCAGTTTATTGTGTCCGTTTCTTGTATGTTATGAGGTTATTTGTATGCTGAAGAAATATTGAAATTTATAAAATTGTACATTTCTGTATGTATGCATGGATGCTTATTATGTGATATTTTGTATGCACCAAACATTTGCCTCCATCTGTGTACAATCATTTTCTCTCACCTAAAAGAATGTACTATGGATAAATGGATACATTATTAAGATCAAATAACTATTGACTAAGGACATGTATAATATAAAAATGAATATATATATATATATATATATATTTTTTTTTTTTTTTTTTTAAAGTATACCAAAATCATTGTTTAGCAGTGGAGGAGTTGACAAAAAAAATTAAAAAAAATTATAATAATCGTACAAATGTTTGTTCTTCTAATTTTGCAACAGCTGGATTTTTATTTTGAATATTTCTCTTTTTTAGCTCTATTACCTTGTAAATCATGGTTCTGTGGACATTATGCCTTATTCAGAATAACGTCCTTAGCTTATGCTTGATTTTATTTTGTACTACTGTATAAAGTGATTTATTGATTTTGTTGGTTTTTTTTAAAGAAAGCTCAATATAATTAATGTAAAATGGCATTAAAATATGGATTTCCTCATCCAAAAGTTCTAGGCAATGCAAGTGCATCTAACTTCTCCACTGTTAATACCTTTTCATACATGCCTGCGACATTTGTTGTGTTGCTTTGGTATGTGTTGTTTCTTCAGTGAAGCAGAACAGAATGGCACTGAGTCTTAACATCGATTTTTGTCATGTGTGATATTAAATGGCATTCTTTTAACATGATAATCTGCCTCTGAAATAGTAAACCAAAAAAACTAAAAAGTTTGAATCACATGCTAGTGGGCTTAGGTTGGAAATTAAAACAGACATTAGCAGTGTTTTATTATATAAACCACAGTACTGCCAAATTTCTTCTCAAATTATTATATGTAACAGGCATCCGGAAGAGGACCCAAGAATTAGTAATATATCAATCTCAATATCTATATATATATATATATATATATGTGTGTGTGTGTGTGTGTGAAAGACCCAAGGCCTGTATTTGTGGGAGGAGTTAGTGTTCCTATAAAAACACTACTCCACCCTTCCTACCTTGACGAGGCTTGCGCTATTCACCTCACCCACCTCACCCTCTTACCTATACAGTCTTTCGGGAGGCCCCCTTTTTACAGGCCTACCCCTATGTCGGTTCTGGCACACCACACCGACTTAATTCCAATCACAAGGTATTTCACGATCACGATATTAAACGACCACAAATAAATATATATATATCTGTTCTGCATCATCTGTATATCTCAAATTATACACTGAGGGGTCCTCCTTGGCCATAGAAACTCAATGAAGAATCATGTTTACACAATTATTCTAAAGTACCCAACTTGACATTTAAATGAGCACAGATAGGCATTGTGTTTAAGAATTCATGTCTGCAAATACACTTATCAAAGGTTACTATTTTAAACACATCGTTTTTAAAATCAAAACATAGTTTGTGATCAAAAAGGATTGGTGAGCAGAAACCAGCCATGCACTGCATTTTTAAACCTTTTAGGGGCTCATCAGCATTTCACCATTTCTGGTCTGGATGGTGAAATTCTCTCTGAGAGCATATAGCAAAGGTCCCAAAAAGATTATGGTGAGGCCAAACACGATACACAATCTTCTTGGTAACTAACTATATGCTCTCAGGGAGACTTTAACCACCAGACAAGAATGGGTGCAATGCTGATGAGACTCACAACGTTGAAACTGCAGTCCATGGCTGGTTTAAATAGGTTTAAAAAGATGTGTTTAAAACAGTGTCAATTGCTAAGTGTATCTGCAGAAATACAGGATGAAGTCTGAAACAAGATGCCCGTCAATAAAGCAGTAGGTTTGGATACAAATCCTTTGTGTGCTCTTCTCCTTGAAAATATATATATAATCTATCTATTACATCTAATGTTTGTAAACACTTACATACTGACAATTAATTAATTTATTTTGCAATATTTGTAAATGCAGAGTGTAACAAACTCCCCCTTTTAAAGGAGTTTGCCATGAGTTTTTGGTGGGGCCTGCTTGCCCGCCTCCTGCCCTGTTACTATGGTCACTGGGGGTATTACTGTTTAAAAACCCTATTTGGGCTTATGGGGTTTTAATACACTTTTTCTGCCCCTTTAAATCCATGGGAAAATGTGCTTCTTCCTGTCACACAGAGGTTTATTGACTAAAGATCAAACTGTAGTGAATTAGAAATTGTAATAAAACATAGGTTAAAATAGCTAAATTGGAAAAACAAATCCCAGTCTTGGTTATATTATAACTTCACTCTTTTAGCCTAATTTGTTTTATTCAGTTTTCAATACACTACAAATTGGTGTCTAGAGGATAAACTCTATAGTATTATTTTTTACTGTAATCCCCAAAGCAAAGAATTTAATTTACCTTTTCAATTAAAACAGCAGTAAAAAAAACAAAAAAAAAACAACAACAACAAAACAAGCTTTTGGCTACATTTCATGCTACTCATCACAGAATTGTAAAGAATAGTATGATCAGTGATCTCTGCATAAAATGAATGCACTCTTTTGACAACTTTTATGTAATAAATGGGATACTAAATCTTTGTTAATTTAAACATTCAACATAATTTGTTTTGATCGGACTTGCACATAAACATATCTTTATATTATTATTAATTTCCATTACCTTATTAAAATATATACATTAAAATTAGGTTAAATAACAAACTATAAAAAATGTAAAAGAATGTCATTTACATTGTTGGTTTATAAATGTAAAACAGATGGTGAAAGAGCATATAAAAGCATAAAGTATTCTTTTTTTCTAAAATTTCTCTAGTGAATTTAATGCTCGTGAATGGTGCCAGATTGACAGCACTGGGAACTGCAGTTCTCCATTTATCCACAGAACAGGTACTGCACGGGCAGCGGCAGTGCAAGCTTTCCCCCACTGCCCTTCCATTGTGCCTCAGCCCTGTTCTGGACTGGAGGGACAGCCTCTGAGGGTGAGAGGGACATTCAGTTTCAAAGTCCATCCACTACTTTCATTCTCTAGTACCATTGATGAGATGAGGACTTCGTTCTGTGGACAATTGTCCGCTAGGAACTGATCTGTGAATGGCATCTCATTTTTAATCATCAAAAAAAACCTAATAAAATTAAATAATGCAGCAATATTGTTTGTAAACATATTTAGCTTGACAAATTATTCCACCTACCATTTTTTGCCTGCTATGTTTTTTAGTACCGCATTATACTTTAAACCAATAAGCTACAAAAGGAACCTACATGAAACTGTCTTCCAGTTATCTGTGGGACCCTTTAAGCAGAAACTGTATTATTTTTCCATAAATAATACGAATGATAATAGAATCATAACATTGAATGCATAGTTACCGTAAATAAATATACAGTATCAAACTACCTTATAACTAAGATATCTTTTTTTTCTGCCCAGGAGTTATCTTATCTTCAGCATTCCATTTCTACCCATTTGCAAGAGACTATAAATATCAAAGATACAGAGAAAGAAAAAGATCGAAATAAAGAGAAAAAATGTAAATCCAAGTCCCTCTCAAAAGGTAAAATGGAGACTAAAATTATTTATTTAAATTGATAAATACATGTGAATTGCATATAGTAGAAACACTTAATTATGTTTTATGGCAGGAATCACTACAATCTTAGTTGTGACAGATAGTTTAATGTTGCTTTAATATATAAATGATATAAAGTCTTGATGTGACTTAATGGCATGATAGTATTAACAAATGTTACTCTACATGCAGTGGAGACAAATACAACTCAAACAAATTGAAATAATTAGTAAGCTATATGTTTGATCAAATATACATGATACATTAATGATACAGAACTGAGGAATGAAGAAGGGTCAAAGGTTCATGTTCATGCATGTCAAAATTCTTCATTGTGACAGTCAGATGGTCTCTGTAAGTTTTACACTGCTGTTTCGGAAAAATTGCCTCTAGTGGCAGTTTAAGTTACATAGTTACATAGTTACATAGCTGAAAAGAGACTTGCGTCCATCAAGTTCAGCCTACCTCACATTTGTTTTTTGCTGTTGATCCAAAAGAAAGCAAAAAAACCCAGTTTGAAGCACAATTTTGCAACAAGCTAGGAAAAAAATTCCTTCTTGACCCCAGAATGGCAGTCAGATTTATCCTTGGATCAAGCAGTTATTACCCTACATTGAAAGATTATATCCATTTGAACATCTGTATGGACTCTGATAAAACCACTTCTTCAGGCAGAGAATTCCACATCCTGATTGTTCTTACAGTAAAAAACCTTTCCTTTGCCTTAGACGAAATCTTCTTTCTTCCAGTCTAAACACATGACCTTGTGTCCTATGTAAAGTCCGGTTTGTGAATAGATTTCCACACAATGGTTTGTATTGGCCCCGAATATATTTGTATAATGTTATCATATCTCCTCTCAGGCGACGTTTTTCTAAACTAAATAGGTTTAAATTTGTTAACCTTTCTTCATAGCTGATATGTTCCATTCCTTTTATTAATTTTGTAGCCCGCCTCTGCACTTTTTCTAGTGCCATAATATCCTTCTTTAGAACAGGTGCCCAAAATTGCACAGCATATTCAATATGGAGTCTTACCAGTGATTTATAAAGAGGCAAAATTATATTCTTGTCCCGAGAATGAATGCCCTTTTTCATGCATGACAATACCTTACTGGCCTTGGCCACTGCTGATTGACATTGCACATTGTTGCATAGTTTGTTGTCTATAACAATTCCCAGGTCCTTGACAGCCACTTGAGCTATTTTAACCTTGTAATAAAACATTGCTGTTCTGCAGAATTACTATATTTTCAGCTGCAGGTATAAAATGATTTGGGCATGGCAACCAGGCCACTTCAGGATGAGAATAAAATGCTGCCATGCTTATTAATCATAAAACCATGACAGCATTAACTAATGAAAATACTCAAGCTATATATGTATAGGCATCATTATGGATGGATTGTATATTTCTCCAAAAGTATTGGAGTGTGTGAATTAATAGCCCCAGGAAGAAGGTCTGTCTGTTTTGGTCACAGCAATTTTGTAATTTAATATGGGTTCCTGGGGTGGAGCATTTGGAGTGAAGGGAGGGTCAGTGCTCCATTCCACAGTTTACATGCAGCACAGCAGGTGAGCAATCCAGTCCAGGAGTGCTGGATCACCCAGATAGTTAAAAATCACCTGTTGGCAATGATTAGCACAGGACTGCTATAAAATTTCCCTATCAGGTATTCACAGGGAGAAGGACAAGCAGTGTGTGAGACTGCATTTCTCCGTGCAAGAGTCTTCATGTTCTGAAGGAGAAAGGAAACATGTATTAGAAAAAGCTCTGTTCTAAAATTTGTGTTTTGTATTGTTGAAAGCTAGTAAGCCGCCCAACAGCAGTTAGAAAATAAACTGTCAATTAGTGCTCAGAAGAGCAAGGTTTTTCTTTTTGTTTGTTTTCTTTTTGTTTACATTGTCAGACCTCTTAATAAAGAAAAAGACTGCATTTACAAGAAATACGATTTGTGTGGTCCCAGGTCACAGTACATACATGTAAAGAAGGGAAAAAAAACATTAATAAGCTGGACAAAACTAATGAAAAAATCAACATCCTCAAAATATCTGAACAGAACAACAACTGACTAATCAGTAGTTCAGCCACACTATATCTGCCCAGGCTATACCCTATGGTAGTCAATTACTGGGGATATTCTACAAAGCTCCTACAATATGGTACAATACAATAAAGTGCAAGGGAGAACAATTGTTCAAGATAACTAAGCCTAGGAAAAATCCTTTCTGTCATATGTCTTGACCAATTTCAAGTTTCTGGCTCAGAATGAGCATGTGAATATGTCCTGTGTCCTAACTAGCTGATTATGGATCTACTGTAGATTGAAAACTTACCCAACAACCTGGTAGAATAGAAGGGGCATTAGAAGGCAATAGAACAGAGAATCCCCCAATTAAAAACCTAGAAATATGGGCATCCTTCAGATTCAAAAAACAAATTGTGATGAGAAATAGCACAACTAGTAAGCTCAACCCCCAGTGAAGTAAATTTTTAAGATCATATTTGCTAACTAAACAATCACCTGCAGAATTTCCAAAGACCAATATGCTCTCTTAATTTGCCTAACCTTTTTGCACTCTCTGTTCTCTCTTTTGCAAAACACATGCTGGCTAAACAGGAGAATATACTATACACATCCACATAACATTTTTTTTCTATACTGTAACTCTATATACTCTACAGATTATGGCTGTGATTTTCTGAGCTTCTACGAAACATCCCAGTAGAGGTAAAATTGTTGTGTGTTCCCTGTGCTTTGCTGACAAATGATTTCACCTCTCCTTATGTAGGTGTGATACAATTTAGATGATTGTATCCAAAACACCGAGAATAAAAAAGAGCTGACTTTTGCAATGTACTGGAAAAGAGGAAACACACACACGCATGCTCCCAGATACACAAAAATATACTCAAAGACACACAGATATGTATTTGTAAAGCACAGTGTTTCTTTTCAACTGGAGCATGTTTGCTAAAAAGACTAGCAGTCAACTGTAGTACCCTTAGAGATAAAATTTAAATTAGTGTCCATAAGGTGGAATAAACAGAGGATGTATAATTTTAATTTATTTGCATCCATCATCTCTGTATGTATAATGTTGAATAAAACAATGAAACTCACCTTTAACTTGTGTTAACATTTTTTTTTTAATAGGGTGCTCTGTTATCTTTTAAACTTGTGTTTTAGCAAATTACATAATAATCCTGTTCAGGCAAGGCAAAACCCATTACACATTTTGCAATTAAGAAGGAGAAATAGAAATGTTTAATTTCTCACCTTCTCCTCATGCTTTCCCGATGCTGACTATCAGGTGAAAGGGATAGAGTTTGTAACAATAATTCACAAGGAGTCATAATGGTAGAGCCCAGTTGCAAATTAATCCATATAATTGCTATTTTAGAGAATATTTATGTGTAGTCTATGCATCTTATTTTTTTATATAAATTCTATGTAGATATTTTTAAAACAGAAAATAATTGTTAGTAAAATGATTTTAGTGAATTCTGCAGTGGTCGTCACCTGACTTGTATCCCATAGGAATTATCTGGTGGGATTTGAAGAAGAAGGTTGCAGCATGCAAACCCAAGAATATTACTGAACTGGAGGCCATTTCTCGTGAGCTGATATCTGGCTATGCATCTCATTTGCAGCAGATCATAACAGCAAAAGAGTGCTCTATTGAGTACTAAAGATGCTCACCATGAAGTGGCTGAATAATTTTGAGACTGGCGATATCATTATAAGTTGCCTTTTCAGTTGAATTTTGGGAAAGCATTTGAAACAATCGCGTTAAGCTTTTTTTTGGGTTTGCTCATTACAAATAGCTGAAAGTCTGTAAAGTTTGACAATAAACCTGATTTCCAATGGAGGTTGAATAATTTTGATTGCAACTGTATATCTAAACATGAACCTATACATAGTATTGTTATTTTATACTATATTTATATGTAGTATGTGCATCTTATATTTAAAACAAATGCTATGCTGATATTTTTTTTAAACAGGAAATTATTGGTAGTGATGGGTTAACATGAATGTAGTTAATATGTCAGCATGAGGTCTGTTGGTTTAATTATTTTCTTACTTATTGTTCAACTCTTTTGGCTGCTTTATTTGAACTGTCCTTTCTTCAAGTTTCATGTATTCTTAGTTCTATTCTGTTTAAAGACATGTTACAAAACAGTTATTTGTATTAGATCCTTTGGTTTCTATATTCTCTAACCCAAGATTCCTTATGGGTTATGGATTCCTTATGGGTTTAGCAAATGCAATATTTTTGCCTTTCAACATTATGTATTTCATTTTTTAATTTAGTAGACCCCTTCTTTTCTTTTTAAGAACAGTTTTGTTTTTGTTTTTATTTGAACTGTAGTGAGCTATACCATTGTATTGTAAAATAAAATTAACTATGGACATTTTACACACATATATATATATATATATATATATAT